AATATATGTTGGTTATAGTATGAAAAGATTGTATTTTAGCTTTATAATTGTTGGTTTCTTTTGCTTCGGTAAGGTTGAATGGCTGTGTGGTGGTGTGTGATAGGGTGTGCGGCAGGTGAGGGTATTAGGGGGTTGCCAATACCGTAATACTACATGTATAAGAAAAATTGACAAATACCGAAATACCGTGTTGAAAATCAATGAAATACCTATACAGCATTTACAATCGTCCATGCTTATTAAAGTTGTACATCCATCTCTAGATTAACGGTCAGAATTAAATTGTGTATTCATTTACCATAATTAAGTTTAAAGTCTTAAAAATATTAACTATTATTAACCTGTATAGCTTACTGTTGCCTTAATTGTATTGACCTGCATTAGACAGAAGAGTGCAAATAAATGGTACTGCAGTACCGGGAAGGATCTTCTCTTACTGAATACTGTTAACTAAAAGGATGAAAAACTTCATACCGCAGGGCTAGATGATACTGCAATACCACCCATTAAAATTAAAATAACCGAAATGCTACTTGAAAAAAAGCTCAATTTGCCACATTAAACCCTCATGTCCCCCTCTTATAGCAACCAGCAAACATCGGTATAAAGTTGATAATAATTTCTTACGTTTATTAGGAAATAGACAGTGATAGAACTCTCCAAAATGAGTTTGTAAGACTAGCTTTAAAATGACTTGATAAAGGTGAGAGTTACCAATACAGGGTGCAAAGAAAGTCATTCTTCCAGCTTGCCATCCGGGCAAGCTGGAGCTAACATTTACTAGCCCAAACATCATTTCAACTAGCCCTAAAAGTGCTTTGATGAGCAGATTGATTTCACAGTTCTTCTGTAATTTGAATTCCTCAAAAAACTTCACTTGCCCATCCGGCAAGTTAAGAACAGAATTCTCGATAGCAAAATCCACTAGCCCGGGGCTATCAGACACTACTTTCTTCGCACGCTGCCAATATTGCAAGAAACTTGCACTTACCCCTGGGTGTAAAATGGATCAATTTGGGTGGGAGAGGGAAATGAACTGCCACGTTGAGGACTAAAGGTCTGTGAATCAACACCTGACATGGTTATGTTACTTCCTGGGGTAGTGTATCCAGCACTTTTCCGGACTGTTGTATTAACAGCAGATGCCATTGTCACATCCATTGGCTTTTTTTTTAAAAAAAGAGTTAAGTGTTAGTGGCAAAAATATGTGTACACTCAGGGAGGGCTTTATCGAAGATTTAAAATCAGTGATAATCTAATGAGAGCAGGAATGGTTTAGTACATGTAGTTTGGGTGCTAGACTTGCCCTCAAAGTGCCAATTTCAAGTCTTTCTGCTTTGCATAAATCTGTATATGGAATAGCAGTCTGATTTAGATGAAATGTGTGGACATTACCCACACCAGTTTTATAAACAAATCGAAGCTGCTACAAAAAGAGTACTTTTTCCATGTACCTGTTCTTTGGAGAAGGGTGAATTACCAAACTCTGAGCCTCTTGCATCATAAAGTCCTTCAACTGGGGGAGCACTCATGGAATCTTTAGGAGGACAGCCTATAGAAGATCTAAAGCAAAGCATTGTGACAGTACGTCAAACTTTAAAACCATATGGCAGAAAAGCTTAAATATGTCTGGTGGTCTAACAACCAAAAAAAGGGCTAGCTTCGTTTCTAAAAAACACCAAGCACTTCCTGTATGAACCAATTAAGCAATAGAAAACGTTTTCCATGTTTGCATAGCCTGATATAAACACGAGAGGGGTTGGGAGAATTTGAGACAGTTATGCAAACCCAAGACGAAGTCGAGGGTTTACATAACTGTCGAGAAAAAAACACAAAACTCTTTGTTATGGCACTGATTAAAAGAGATATTCTTACCAGTCACAAAGTCTTGTACACGACGTCTTGCACGCGAAAATCAGTTCTTGCTTTGCAAAAAGATGCTATTCAAAATACGGATTTTTCTCACTTAAACTGTCAGCTTAAGTGAAAAAAAATTGACACACCTTCTTTGTAACGATTCAGCCGACGGAGGAATTGGTAAATAAAGTAAACTTGTCGAGTTTTGAACTCGAAAACTTTTTCAAATTCGTGCTTGCGTGATTAGTGCACGAAAAGCAAAACATCTTGACGCCACAACCATGTTTACATACTCTCATGCAAACACTCCTCTCAGCGCACATACTATCTTGGTTATTTTATAAGAAATAATAATTCGTAGCTTGTATAAGACTAACCTTGCAGGTGTTCTGTCAGTCTTGGTTACAAATCCTTGCGGCCTGAGTGGAGAACTCAATTGATGGGAGTAATTTCTTGGTGATGAAAGGGAACCAGTTTGGACTGGACTTCCTTTATAAGACCCTAAGGAAGATCCTACTGGTCTTCCTCTTGGAATGGGCTGAGGGAAAAGATGTATATTAATTAATCAATTAATTAATTAATACTCGTAAACAAAGTTAAACAAGAAGATCAGGAGAAGTTTGGATTCTCATAGTGCACAAATCATGCAAAGAATTCAAATTTCTCCTGGGAATATGATTTAACATTTGTACATTGGTAAATGCCATTATCAAAATCTAATTACCAAATTAATAATATATCTATTAGACTTCCGAAGACAAATTGTTAGAGTGACTGGCTGAAAATCGAAGTATTGCAACAATATTTTTT